CCTAATATTCAGGGAAGGTTTTACCTTTTGAGTAATAGTCATGCATAACTGGTTATTCTCTTCCTTTAAACTTTCACACTGCTTAGTCTTGTCATGGTCCAAACGAACCAGCTCTTCAATTTCCTTCTCATAACTCAGAAGTTGAGACTAGGAAGAAAGAAGAGTGGGCAGCAAGTGAATACAGATAGTTATGACTGAGAAGCACAGGATCTTTTAGGTGCATGAAGCAAACCTCCAGAACCTGTGGCTGACCATCAGAGACTGTCCATAAAATCAAAGGAAGGAAGCTATGTGTTTTCTACCTGCAGTTGATCGACATGATCCAGGGCTGTTTTCAGTTTGGTTTCCAGATGTTCCTTTTCAGAGGTTACATTCTGAATTTGCTCTTTGAATCTGTTCAAAGCAAGTCAAAACACACCACACTTTCACAAGTGGAAACTTAATCCACAACAGCAAGACGTTTGCTTACATGGAATCCTGTTTAAATTGATCTTGAAGATACACTTACTGGTGCAGTTCTGCCTCTCTGCACTCATTCAGCTCCTTCAGGTGTTTATTTTCCTGTTTCAGGGAATTCAGCTCCAGCTCCAGTTTTTCAGTGCTGCTCCTAAGGGACTCCAAAACATTTTGTAGCTCCTGAAAATCAAAAATGAGGTCAGTAGGAAGAAAAAAATGGGACTCAGGCAATAGTCCTCCTCTGCACTGGAACTGCAAAATGCAATGCTTCCAGGCAGCCCACGTGAAGGAGGAAAATCTCTCCTTTGTATCCTTCAGACCCCGTTTTGTTTACACTAAGCCCTGAGCAAAACTGAAAGAGAAAACAGGAACATTAGGGAACAGGGCTGGGCTGGAAATTTCTGGAGAGCCTACCAAACATTTTTGAATATGTTCCTGAACCCCACCTCTGATGATGCCTCTTGTTCATCACTGTTATTATTGTAGCAGAGGTGTTGTACCCCTTGTTAAATGATTAAACAGATAATACAGGAAGAAAGCACTTTCATTTTCTCCCAGAAGCATACAACAGAGCATGATCTGACTCAGACTTTTTACCTTATCTTTCAGAATTAAAGCTTCTGACTTCATATATGAACTTTTGTTGTACCTGTGTCTTCTTGAGGTCTTCCTGCAGATCTGTATTTTGTTTTTGGAGACTTGCACAGTTGGCTTGCAGCTCCTCATTTTCTTTAAGCAAATTCTTGTTTTGTTGTTCAATCTCTTCCACTTCTCCCTAGCAAGCAAAGTTGTTTAGTTGTAGTGGAAGCATAAAAAACCACTATGCTCCAACTGCAAAATAAATGTGCCTGGCTTCACAGCACCTCAGTTATTGCCCATGTGCACACATTTAATCCCATCTAATGGAAGGCAAATAAAAGCAAAGGCAGGAAGAAGAAGGGGACGAGAGGATACACACCTGTGTGGTAACCACCAGAATATCATCCTCAGTCTCTGCTCTGAACTGGAAAGGCACACTGGCTCCACGGATCGTACCATCCTGGTCAATGTAGCAGAACTGGTAGTATTCATCATCTTTGGGCAGGTAATAAGCTTCAGACAAACACAACAACACTGTCACATGCAGCTTCTAATTATTTGAGTCTCTTAACTATCTAGCACAGAAAGTCAGAAGCTAGCAAAACAGACATCTTCAATACTGTTCCTTCACCATTGCTAGTTCTTCGTGATAGGGATTGGAACACAAAGAAAATCATTCAGACAGGATTGCAGAACCCAGTAGACTTGAAGTATTTCTTTCAAATCTATTAGGCTGGTGGGATTTGAAGTTTACCAAAGCACATTACTAAGATATTCTGTAATTCTGAATATAATACTTATTAGTGGCAGCAATGATTTGATGTGTGCATGCCTGTGTGTGCACCTGCACATATATACCATGAGTGACCCAACCTCCCAGCCCACCTTTGAACTGGATCTGTTGCTGCACAGCAGTATCACCACGGACATCATTGGGCCGAGGAGCCCACATGAATGTGTAATATTCTCGGGTGGTTTTCCATCCCACCTGCAACAGCAAAATTCTTGTAAGGGATTACATACTTCACGTTTATCCTATGGCAATTGGACAGTATTACTACATAGACCAGCTGCTGGGAGGACTTTCGTAATGATATCCTGACTTCTTAAGAGTTGCAATCTATGCATGAATCAAAAATCACCAGTTTATGCCTTATTCTATGGAATGTGTTAGGTAAGTGAGGGGAGCACTGAAGTAGGAAACATATTGGAAGAGATGGTGCCAGTATGGTCTTTAATGCAATTGTTCTTCACAGATTCTGTGTATCATGGTCTGTTCTGTTGGCCTTGAAGCTGTTCAAGTAACAACAGAGTTCTGGCACTCTGTCCCTGAGCACAAGAAAAATGTTGCATGACACAAGGTTATCACTGAAAATAAATTCTTTACCGTGTTCTACCAAAGCCTTAAGACCTTTCCTAATGCTGAAGTATCAACTAAATGCCAAACAATGTGTTTCTGTCAGAAGCTGCCTAATCGTACTTGGTTGCACAGTATTCACTTACCCGGAAGATGCCCACCCAGTCCTTCCCACGAGGAACAATGTTGTGTGTGAGAGTATAGTGACAGGTTACGTCTGCTCCAGGAACATAAAATTTCTCCACGTTGTTAAAGATGACCTGGGAGAAGTGGCCGCTGTCTAAAATGACAGCAGAAGTGGGAGGTTCATCTGAAGTCTCATCCATTGTGGAAGTCTATGAGAGGAGAAAGCATAATGTAATTATCTCATCTCCACGTGCTGCCAGTATAATCGTGTCCAGGAAGGATACGAAGAGGAACAGTTTGGAGTGACAGAGCTGTAAGGTCCTCTACACATGGACCAATATTTATCAGCAAGGCACAAGGGAACGCCAGAGTCCCTACTGCTGTGATGAGACTGCTCCTTAAATTCAAGACAGTTTGTAGATCCTTTTTAGTAACGTAAGACTGACCACTGCTTCCCAGCCACAGTGCCTGGAACTCTAGGGCTGCCCATGTAATGTAACAACCTCTCTCCTGCTTGGGACCCCATAAGCCAGACCCTGCTGACCTTCCTACAAATCTGCTACACAGAAGAGAAGCAGCAAAGCCTTCTAGCAGCAAAAGCACGCATGCATGTCTGCTGGTGGGATTCAGTGCCTGGATGCAGCAAAACAACGCATCCTGCTGGGGAAAAAAAAATGAAGTATTGTTTTTTGGCAAAAATGACAGTGATCTTGCAGAAAAGCAACCCCAATGGCCACACAGGCTGTGCTGATGATACAGCATGCAGTCCATTTCCAGGAAGTAGAGGAGAAAGACATCTTACTAAGATGAAGTTTGTTACATGAACAGTTTTGAAGCAGTGCAGGAAGAGGTCCTGTGAGGCTGGATCTACCAAGGCAATGGTCACAGCCCCACCTTTGCAGACGGCAATAAGTAAAGGTCAGCCCCAGCCCACAGCCGAGGTAATGAGATAATTACACCTCACACAGAGCAATATGGAATATACAACACTCCCTCTGATATTCACGGTCCAACCTCTTTCTGGGGATTTTTGGTTGGTTTCCTTTTGCTGTTGTTTTCTTCTCTTTATAAGCTGCAGCATTCCGAAAATGCAATCTTAGGAAGAGAATGCTCTGATAGCAGCCTTCTGATACTTATAAACAGGAAGGAAATCAACTTTCTACACGGGTAAATAGCGATAAGACAAGCGGGAAACTTTTAAAGTAAAATAAGAGATTCAGATGAGATGTCAAGGGTAATTTATTCACTGAGAGGGCAGAAAGGTGCTGGCCCAGGGAAGGGCAGACACCCTACCCCTAGAGGTGTGCAAGGCCAGCTTGGATAAGGCCCTGCCCATTCTGATGTAGTGGTTGGCAGGGGGGTTGGCACTACGTGATTTTTGAGGTCCTTTCCAACCCAATCCATCCCATGATTCAACAACAACAACAAAAAACAACCAAACCCTTCTTAAGTGAGGCTGATTTCCAGCTGCAGGCAGGAAGCTGATGTGCCAAGTTACATGCCACGTTGGGGTGCCCTGACTGCAGCCCCTGTTAGCATCCCTACGTAAGCCGTGGGGTGGAACGGGGTGCCGCTCCCAGCTCCACCGGCCCAGAGTCTGCACTCACTGCCGGGAATCGAATGTGAAAGCATCTCACCAGTAAGCGAGCCCCGTCCACAATCAGCCTTCCACCCTGCACTGAAAAAAAAGCGGAGGGAAGGAAGAGGGGGACAACAGGATTGCAGGGCATCCCCAGGACCCCACACCCTGTCCCGGCTCACTTACCGACAGGCACGGCTGGAGAGCTCCGAGGAGGAAGCGGAGCACCAGGAAAAGCAGAACGCTCCTCCGCAGGCTCTGCCGCCCCGCCCAGGGTCGCCTCCCCAGGCTCAGCTCCGCCTGCACTGCTGGGATTTGTAGTTCGGTGCCGCGGCGCCAAGGACCGCCTTCGGTGCGGGGTGCTTCGCTAAGCAAAGCCGCGCTTCAACAAAACACAAGGACGAGTTTCAGTGTTCGAACGGACCTTTATTTATGGAACGGGAAACAGCAGCGGCCGCAACAGCCTCCGGTGTACCGGAGAGCAGCGTGAGAGGACGGCCGAGCCCGCGCCGCAACGACCGCCATGTCCATGGTCAGCTCTACGATTCGAGGAGCGGCCCGCGCGCCTCATGATCCTCTGGGAAACCTCCAGCCTGCCAGCCAATCGCAGAGCGCGTGGCGAAAATAACTAACCAATGGAGGCCAGCATCGTAACACAGTCCTCCCGCCCCATGCTGCTATCCCGGATGCTGGTGGGAGGGGCTTGCCTGACCGCGGCCAATGGGGAGCGAGGATGTTGTCCCAGAATGCCGCGCGCCGCATGTAGCGGTAGCCAATCGGCGCGGAGGACGCTGGGGGACACGGCAAGGTGAGCGGGGTGGGGGCGCGCTCTCCCTTCACAGCCGCCGCCGTCGCAGCCCGGAGCGGACGCCGCGCAGGTGGGGTCCGTGTGCGGCCCCGGGGCTTCGAGCGGCACCGCGGCCTTGGTCTTGGCCGGTGGGGTGTGCCTGGCCGGGACCGTACCCTTTGATGGGACTCTGCTGTCCCTTTGCTCCGTCCGGGACTCGGTTGTGCTGAGGTGGTTTTGGGGTGTTTAGAATGAGGGAAGGGAGAAATGCGGATCTCTTGATCTGTGGGGTTGGGCCGCGAGGAGGATGTGGCAGCACTGGGATTCCTAATTCCTTCTTGTCGTTATTAGTAATAGGTAAAGCAAGATGCAGACGACTTCTTTGGCTCTTCTCAGCTCTCCGGCTCTGGTAAGAACTGTCTGCAGAGGGGTGTAATGGTGCTTAGTAGGGCCGTGTGGGTATGGAGGCTTTCCCAATGGGGCAGCGATCAGAACTCTGGGCGGTCCTGGCTGAGAGAGGGTCCCACAAAGCTATTTTACACGTGGGTAACAAAGGGGGGGGGGAACAAGGTGACCTCTGGTGACTGCAGAGTGATGCCCACTGTCCCTGCAAGCATTTGTTGGGCTGTGAGCCCAACAGCAGTGTGAGATAAGCAGTTATCACAGAGATGTCATCCTTTTGTCACAAAATACAAGCAAGGAATGAAACCTCTGGGGTTGTGATAATGGCTGAGCTGTGAAGTAACAGCTGTGATCCTGCAGCTTGTGACAGCATTCCTCGTGGGCTGCATCCAACTGACTAGAGTAGGAATGCTCTAAATTTGTCTATGCTTTTTTCAGTCTTAAAACATTTCGAAAATTTTCTAACACTGTTCTTTTCTGAGAATTGATGAGGGTGCATCTAACTGTAGGAATTAATGGTCTGTTTTGCTTCAGTTCCGGTGCTGCTCCAGGGCTCTGGCCAGGCCCGTTTCAGTGTCTGTGTTCAGCAGGCCTGAGGCTCAGGCTGTACAGGTAAGACTCTTTTATGTGGTAAATTAAATTGGCTCCTGTATTTCAGTGCTTGATGTCTTGATGACTCCTCCCGAGGTGGAAGAGTAAGATTTTTACATCATCAGAACGGCTAGTAAAGGGCATAAAGTATATAGCTTCTAGCCCAGACCAGTGGTAGCTGAGCATTATTTTTTGCTCTGTCCTGAGTAGATTATAAAAGGTGAAAATATGTTTTATTAAGATGACTTCCATATTGATGATTCAATGCCATTAACCTGTTTTTCATGTATCCCACAGCCAGCTGGTGTGTCCTATCCACAGCTGACCCGCCGTGAGTTCCAAACTAGTGCAGTTTCCCGGGATATTGACACTGCTGCTAAGTTCATCGGTGCTGGTGCTGCCACAGTTGGGGTGGCTGGTTCAGGAGCAGGTATTGGGACAGTGTTTGGCAGCTTGATCATTGGCTATGCCAGGTAAGTAAGATGCCAGGCTGGCTTGAATTTATTCCTTTCTAGCGCTAAACTTAGAGGAGAGGAGCTTTTTCTGGTGCTTATGTTCTACTCTATATGTGTAGCGTGTAGAATCGCATACTTTAACTGAAGCATTCCTCTTTGGAATGTAAAAGGAATGTTACATTTCATCATTTCATTTAAACAAACAAGAAAGTGCCTGAACTGTTTTAATCCACCCTATACTTACTATTGGGTGATGCAGAAGTTCTGTGGAGCTCTGCCTACTCCTAGAAGGAATGAAACACTAGTCATCAATGGCAACTGGTGCTTGGTACCACCAGGGCAGGTGAAATTAGCTTTGGGGGTTTCACATGGCTACTGAAAATCGTTAAACCCAGGGAAAAATCATGGCTTTTCCATTCCAGATGGTGGCTAGCTGCCATAAATCTGGTTCATCCTCCAAAGCTTGATGACTGTATGGCATAATCCTGGCTTTCTGTGATGTGATTTGGGGTCTGGTTTATTTAGTTGTGTTTTGTTTTTCTCACTGTGGGTCCTTTTTTTTTTTTTTTCTTCCCTTCATTTTTTTTTTTTTTGTCCCCCCCCCCTCCCCCGTATACATGCAGGAATCCATCTCTCAAGCAGCAGCTTTTCTCCTATGCCATCCTGGGCTTTGCCCTGTCTGAGGCCATGGGGCTCTTCTGTTTGATGGTGGCATTCCTTATCCTCTTTGCCATGTGACAACTTCTGGCGTGGCTGCAGTTTCCATCACTTTGTCCTCGGCGGTTTGAGTCTGCTTTCATCAGAGCGTTCCAGACTGACAATTAAAGAAAAGATTTCTCTAAATAAAGTGGTGGCTTTATTATTTTTTTTTTCTTATGTGCTGGTCCATCATTGGGAAAGCCATTGGGGGATATATTAGTTGAAGAGGGTAATATTCTGGATCTGGGAACACCTACTGATAAAGCAGTGGGAATGTGAAATGGTGGCAGCAAGAAGGAGAAATGAAGTCAGCCAAATAAAAGGGGATGTCCTTGAACAGCACAAACACTGTGTCAGATTTATTCAGCGATCCCAACAAGCATTGCTCTAGTAAAGCAAATTCTTACATTTGAGCTGACAAAACATTATTATCTCCACATAATATTACTGAAGATTATGGTATTGAAAAGGTGATGGGTACAGGTGAGTGTACAGAGTGTATTAAAGGAGTTTGGATTATAAAATGGCATATGTCCTTGTGCAAGTACACAAGGATATACGTTACAGTACCATCTGAGACTTCTTTAACGAAGAAAGAAAAATGGTTTCAAGGTCACACTGTTCATAGGCCTCTTCAAAGCATTGGTTTAAGCACAGGACCACAGACAGTGTTATTTCTTTCTCAACAGTTGCATGCCTCAGCTGTTTCAGAGTTTGGAGCACACTGAGCGAGGAGAAGTTCTGAGGTCTAAGCTGAATCTTGGACCCAGTGTAAGACAGCTGTGCCTTTAAGGAAGGTAACCATGTGGGAAGCTAGTCTGGTTATCAGCTTTAGGTAATTGAATTAATGCAGTGTCTGTGTATACTAAAGCCTCTGAAGCGTGGTTGGGACACGCCTGGGGACACGAATATCAGTAACTTCTCTGTTCCTTTGTAACAGCTGCTTGTGCAGTGTGAAAGGAGTTGGAGAAGGGTTTTGATTTCTGCCCAAAAACAACAAACAGACAAACCCATTCTGGACACTGCTTGGAGAAAAGGGTCTCCAGGAAGAGCCCAGATGAAACCCACTAGCTGACAAAGAGGAAAGGTTCTATATGTTCAGAGAGGTTGCCAGGTGGGGACAAATACATAATTGCTCAAAGGAGAGAACCCTGTTCTCCATGCCTGGATTTCTACTCCAGCTGAGGTTTATCTGTTTTAAATGTTAACCATGCTGGACTGCAGTAGCAGAAACCCTTGCTGATAGAGAGGATGATGCACAGCTTAACTTGTGCTTTTATGTTTCCTTCAGTGAGAAGCTAAAGTGCATCACAGACAGCTGTGAGCTGGAGAGAGGCAGATTTCTCTTGAGCATGGGGGAAGCTTATCTGTGCTCCTTGTGAAGTGTGGGGGTAAAACTATCAGTGAAGGTCCCTGGGAACCTTCAGTTAACATGGTGTAGTTGGCAGTGTGTCACCTGCTCACCTGTACTCACAGCGCAGTGCTGTGTTACCTGACCTTTTCTGGCATGTAATCTGATTGCATTTCTTCTTTACGTCGGTCTTTTGTGCGTGAAATGGATTAAACCAGATTATTTTGTGTATCTCTGGTATGGCAGCACTGACCTTGGGAGTAAAATGGTTCAGTGATGGCTGCTCGGGGCCGTGCTCAGCATCTCCGTAGCAGCTGCTTCCCTGCTGAGCCTCAAAAAAACTCCCATTTCCACGAGTCCGACTTCTCTGCCTCTGCAGTCCGCCGGCACAGCAGGGGGCGCTGTTGCGCAGGCGACGCACAGCCTATTGGGAGGAGAGGGCGGTCTCCGTGGAAGGGCCTCTCTGGTACCGAAAGGAGACTCTATGGCAGCTGGGGGGGGAGTCAGCGCCGGTAGTGGGAGGGCAGCGTGTAGGAGGTGACGCTCTGGGCGGCGATCGGTGGAGGAGGCGCGAGGCGGTGGCCGCTCTGGCCGACCGACTCGTTGGTGCGGAGTCCCGGAAGCGGCGTTCTCCGAGGCCGGGCGCGGAATGGCGGAGAGTCCGGCCGCCGAGGAGGCGGCTCCGGCCGCGGTGTTGGCGGCGGCGGCGGCGGGCAGCGGTGGCGGCGGCACCTCGACCAGCTCTGGCGGCGGCGCGGGGAACCCCGGCGTTTTCATCCCCGCCGAACTGTGGGCGGCCGCTGGTTTCGGCTCTTCTCCGGCTGCTTCCAGCGTAGCTCCGGGAAGCGGCGGAGCTCCCATCGCCGCAGCGGCGGCGGCGGCCGCGGGGGCCGCGCTCCTCACGCATTCCGCCTTCTGGGACCCCACGGTCAGCGGTGACTGGGACAGCGAGCGGCCCAGCTCGGCCTGCCTGCTGCGAATCAAACGGTGAGCGGGCCGCCCTGTCCTCCCCTCCCCCGGGGCCTCCTCTTGTCCTTCCCCGGCACGGAGAGCTCCGACGGAGCCCCGCTGTCCCGTTCCGTGGTTGTGCGGGGCCGCCCGCTTTCCTACGCCGATAACGGGGAACCGGGGCCGCGCCAAGGGGTTCAGCCGGGTTTGGGGCTGGGGACGGGTCCTTGGGGTCATCGGGACGGATCCTGGCGGTCGCTGGGGAAGAGGAATCTCAGGAGAAACACTGGAAGGGATCGGCCTCTGTATCAGGTAGCAGCCGTAGGATGACGGGTGATGGCATTACGTTGTGCCAGAAGAGGTTCAGGTTGGGTATTAGGAGAAATCTCTTCTCCAAAAGAGCAATGAGGCGTCGGCACGCAGGCTGTACGGGGAGGTGGTGGAGTTGCCGTCCTTGGAGGTGTTCAGGAACTGCAGAGATGTGGCACTTGGGGTCGTGGTTTGGGGGTGGGCTGGGCTTGGGTTTATGGATCTGAGAGGTTTTTTCCGACCATAATGATTCTGTAATTCATTACCGTGCCCAGGGGCTCTCTTAGGTGCAGCCCCAGGGCTCTGTGCTCAGGTGTTTGGGTGAAGGCCACAGACCCTCTGGGATATCCTCCTTCTCCTGTTGCTGTGGCCTTTGGCAGCCACGTTGTGTGGCACGCTGCCCTCATCCTGCCCTCAGGATTGCAGCGTGCTCAGTGGAGATGCTGTTAAATAGGAAGGGAATGAGCTCCTCTGCTCCCATCAGCAGTCAAGTTGAGTTTTGCAAGATGTTATCCTAAACCTGCCGGTAGCAATCCTTTTTCCTGGTTGGTGCCCACCCATTTGGCTGCTCTGACTCTTTAAGAATCATCTGGTTAAACCTGGTATGTCAATAGCCTTTGATACTGTGAGCAATACGGTCTTTTATTGTTAGAGATATTGGCACTGTTACAGCAAGTTCTTCCTCTTCCTTCAGAACAGTATTGCTGCCTGCCAGGCTCTTGCTCATCCTTGTTCTGTTGCTTGTTCTAGAGCTTGCCTAATGTCTTCCAAAGATGGCACCAGATATTTTGGCAGTTTTCCATCCAAACACCAAAAGCAATAAACTTCATAATGCTAAGTAGGAAGGCAAAGCTCTCCTGTTGTTCTCAAACTCGTTCTTGCCCTGAAACGTCTCTGGACTCTGATTGTTTCCTGAACAGGTCTAGTGGTAGCTTGTCCCAGAGTACAGTGCAGCTCTGATTGTGATGGGGAGCTTTTTGGCAATGAAAGGTGATGGGTGCTGTTTGGTGTATTTGTAAACTTGTTATTTTTCATTTTGTTTAGTCCAGGAAATAAAACCATTGTGATGAAGTTGTGTGTGTGTGTCTGTGCTTCCTAATAGCACTTGAACCAACTGTCTGATTAAAACCAAACTTGACCGAGCGGTTTTTGGACACAGTTCAGTCACTGTATGTTGGGGAAAAAAGTGACTTGGTCTGCAGAAGGGACTTTGTAAATAGCACAAAGTATGGAGAGAAAACAGAGAGGTAAAGTTTTCTGTTGGGTGACAACATTCACCAATGAGAGCTTTTTTGTGCTGACCTTAGGAGAAGCTTACTGTTAATTCCTACATGCTGGAGTTGATTCAGGGTTAAAAAGCAAGACAGCAGGTAGCCAAGGTGCTGAGGTCTGATGCCTCACTGATTCACTGAATGCTGCCTGTGCTCTTCAACTGTTGTTTAAGATAAGTTAAGAGAGCTCAGCCAGGAAACAGTCAGACCAAAGGAGAGCATCTACCACTTGGAGTTGCAAATTTCCATCTTAAAAATCTGTCCCTTTGCATCTCTACGCAGATTTGTCCTCTAGAACATTCCATGCCTCAAGGGCTGATGAACACCAAGGGAGATTTTGACTAAATTCCTGTTTCCTTTGTTGCAGGGATATTATGTCCATTTACAAGGAACCGCCCCCGGGAATGTTTGTTGTGCCTGATCCCCATGATATGACCAAGGTAAGAGACACTTTGGAATGGGTTCAAGTTCCCACTCTTCTGTGTGTTGCTTTTGGTGGCAGCTCTGAGGATTCTCCCAAATGGTGTAATCCCTTGTCTCAAAACAAGAAGTCAGGGTGAGTCCTGTAAGAGCACAATGCAGCTCTGGTTTTTTTTTGGTGACAATCTGGGCTGCATTTAAATGGAAGGAGGCTGTCAAGGAAAAAATGGTTTTGTGGAGAGATACCATCCCAGGAAGCTGGGAGTTTCCACAGATAAAGTCCTATGAACTAGTGGAGTGCCAACCCCGCTTGTTCTTTGCCCTGCAGATGCTTGAAAAGAATCACTAGATTAGCTCTATGGAAATCTGTTGGGTATGGGGGAATTTGTGAGGGGCTGGAAATGAGGAACACCTGTCAGTCACTGGAAATGCTGAATTATATGTAAGTCACCTATGGAAGGCAGAGGTGTTTAACTGTTGTGACCTGGCAGTGGGATTTATCCCTGGGTCCAGATGCTGCCTTGCTGTGGAGCTGCCTGCCTGGCTCTCACAGGTAACAGCATCCCTGTCCCAGAGAGGTGGTAGATACCCTGTCCCTGAAGACAACACCTGAGGTCAGGTTGGACCAGGCTGTGAGCACCTGATCGAGCTGTAGGTGTCCCTGTTCACTGCAGGAGAACTGGACCAGCTGGCCTTTACAGGTCCCTTCCAACTCAAACAATTCTACGAGTTCATGCAGATCTGACCTGTGTAGCTACTCCCATCACATCACCTCCAGCACATCTGTTCCCTAGGGCCAGGTGTGTCTCTTGCCTCTCCTGCCCCAGTTCTTCCCCTTCTGGCTGCCTGGCTCTAGGGATTTTC